CACGCATCGATCCGGTCATGCAAGCACTTCATCCAATTAGGAAGAGTATGTAAGGCAAGGAAGACGGAGAAGGCGGGCAAACACGAGGAAACTTAGAAAGAAGAAAGATACAGTTATAATCACGCCCACCAAAAACGACGGTTACACAACATTAAGGGCGCGATCCAGTCAAAGCCCAGTACCCAGCGCAGCAAGATGCGCGCAAGCGCAGCGCAACAAAATTCTGAGTACCTAAATTCCTATCCTAAGTCCTAATTGCAAACGGAAATTCCGAAAAAGCAGAAAAGGAAAAAAAAAAAAAACAATTTCGCGAGCCCGTGGGAGCTCGTCATCAGCTGAAAATTCAAAAACGATATTCCTGCGCGATGATCGCGCCAATATTCCCAGTGCTCACAACAGAACAAGAAAGAAGCTATGGTACAGTTATTTTTTTTCGTGCCCGCCAAGGGTCGGCTATCCAACCGTTGGCACGGGATTTTCCCGACACCGATCTGACAACTTCCAGCAGAAAACAAAAAGAAACGAGGGCATCCATGCAACTAGCCCGCCCGATCCATCTTCCCACCATTCGCGCGTCCGACCCGTCGCATTTCCCCAAGCAGCCTCGCGCAGAAAGTCACGCAAGTACAGAAAATAGTTCGTCACATATATGACGCCCAGGGGGTTCCAATCTTGAGCAAGCTCCTGCTTGCTCTCTTTCTCATCAGGCGTCGATCGGTTGTCCAATGATCGACGCGGAGGTAACACGTACCACTTACCGTAGGATCTGAGTATGGAAGTCATCCAACGTGGCATGCATGCGCTCAATCCAAAACGTTGCCCGGGAATGGGTGGAGGACGTGGTGGATGGACTTGTTGAAGAGGAGGTATGAAGCGGCGAATCTTCCTGTCACTGGTGGGGATTCGGGTGTAATGGACAGTGAGGTGGATGCGGGGGAATCGGGTGTTTGCGCGTTGATGGGGAAGAGAGGCGAGATAGTCGGGATAGAGGGTAGAGAGGGTGCGCGGGATTGCAGCGCGGAAGCTCTCATAATTTTCAGAGGCGGGAATTGTACCCAAGATGATGCCATAAAGTTCTATATTATTATATTCCCCCCAGGCCGCGCTGAAGAGAAGGAAATGGAGAGGGAATGAGGCGTCGAAGGAACGGGTGGTAACATGCGGGACAACGGCGACGATAAGGCGGGTGGCATAAAATTGGTGGAAGAGAGTGGGCGGGAAGGGGCACCATCCATCAGGGAACGGGGCTCGACTGAGGAGTTGGTGGGTTGTGAGGAAGTCAAGGGGACGGCGGGATAACGACCAGGGACGAAGCCCGATCGCCCGCATTTCCACAAAGGCGAAGGGTGGCTCATGAGGGTGAAGAAGATGGGGCCGGGGATTCACTTCTTCTACGGCGTGAGCTCCATAATTCCCTTGTTGTGGCTCCATTGGAATCTTCGCGCGGCGGCTTTGGGTTCAGCGAGCGATCACCCAGCAGCAGTTGTGATGGCGGTCCTTCAGATTCCCCGACCGGCCGTTTGCCGTCTGCTGCCTCTCGCCTTCGCTGAGCTTCAGCCTCCTCCTCTTCCCTGCTTCGCGGGGGATGGACGCTCGGTTCCTGCGCTCCGCCTTCCTTCGATCAGCACCCTCTTCCTCTGACGCAATGTAGTCGGAATCGTCCTAATTAGCACCGGATTCTTTGCCCTCCGACTCCTCCTCTTCTTCTTCTTCTTCGTAGCTGGCTTCTATTGCGTTCCCTCGCTGGATGAAGGGATCCCAGTGTGTGAGATCGGTAACGTCAATCTCGAGATAGAGGCTCAGGGATGGGTACACGCAGTTGTCTCCGTCCAACTCTGTACACGTGGACCGCAACAAATGGGGCGCAAGCGTGCGAGTAAGCACGTCCGTCCCCGACTTCTCGTCACGCCTCGACAAAATATCGAGGGGTAGATCGTCCACCAACTGTGCCAAGAACACCAATAACTCGTCGGTGATTGTGTTCAAATGGCCGTCCTCCACCTTGTCGAATAGTATCCCCAACAATTCTCCCTCCATCCTCGTCTGCCAAGCCTGCACGATTACCAAGTCTACTTCGTCGTCTGGGACCTCACCCCCTTCAGCCTCGGGCGCTGGCTCTGCCCAATGAAACACCGCGCACACCAAACAGAAGCTGAGCTCCACGTAGGCATCCCACCACTTAGTCCACTTGTCTCCGTCCAAGATCAGCACGCTAAGCTCCCGGATTCGGAAGGAGAGGGCGGGATCGATAGCAGATTGCCGGAGGGTGGGGAGATCAGATGGAAGGTTGAAAAGGGAGAGACGATGACAGTTCATTGGAGCCGCTCGAAGGGGAGGAGCTCCGGGAGAAGGATCTCCGGTGCGCTGCTGGAGGTGCGGAGCCGGATGTCTATGTCGTTCGTGGCCACGATCGTCTCCTCACGCCAGGCCAGCAATTTGACCCATGTGGCTGTGATCTCCTCGGCCCAGCCCCGCAGCTGCCGATAGATGTCCGCATGAGTCGCTGGGTGCCGCGTCGTAATGTCAACCGAAAAGGTGACAATGACAGACACGTGGCTGACACCGGGCGATGACAGGCGCTGGAAAACTGAAAGCTCGGCCAGTACACGCATCGCTCCCGTGTGTACGAAATGAAACTCTGCCGCCTCGTGGATGGCCGCTGTGCTGAAGAAGGCTGCAAATCGAAGAAGATCAGGGCTCAACTGAGGTCGCTGCACTTGTCGGATTGTCGCTATACTCCCCCTAGGAGTCATCAAACGCTCGTTGATCACCTGCTCCGTCGAAAAACTCATGGCGATGGAGGCGGCGTCGAAGACGACGGTTGCGAGGAGGAGGATTCTAGAGGGTCATCGTCCTCGTCTTGGCCGAGGGACGACGAAGGAGGGGAACGGGAAGAAGGGAGAGGATGAAGGTAGGACACGCGTCGAATGATCGGACGAGCCGATCGACTTCCTGACACCTCCGGCGCAAGCCGCACCATGTTCACTCCATCGGGACCGAGCTCGACTACGAGAAATCGCCTGAAGAATCATGGCGCTAACTTGCCTTGGCGAGCACATTTCCTCACCTGCACGATGTCCCCTAATTTATATTGGGGCCGAGGCCCAGCATTCCCATTCCGGGCCTCGTAGCTCCGGACCTGTCTACCGTGGGCCATTTCAGTCATACACTGGCTTTTTTCGGGCCAGTCGGGGGAGGGCTTTTTCCATTAGCTCTAAATGGCGTTGGGCCTTATCCTTAACCGTCGCTCTAGTGGTCCGTCTAGGAAGGGCCGTCTCATCATTTAGGCTCGGTAGGGCTACATAAGGCAGGTTGTTGGTCCGTAGTTGAAAGGGGGTCGGACCCGTGGACTCGTGGGGTGTCCCCCTTTTGGATAGACAGGATATGGTCCACGATATCGGGCCAAGGCCTTGTGTCATTTGCTGCGATATTACGCCGCAGGGCGGTCTTAATCACTCGATTGGCATTCTCTACCAGTCCGTTGGATTGCGACATGTGGGGAGCAGTGTTGCGGATGGAGACACCGTGTAGGACAAGGTTCCTCAAGACTTTCCCTCTAAATTCTGCCCCATTATCCGTCATGATTTCCTCGGTATCCTGGTGCATCCCGAGAAAACGGTTGACGTATCGCGCAATTTCGGCCACCTGTTGCGTCTTACACGGATGGGCTTCGATCCATTTCGAGAAATGGTCTACAAAAATCAAAAGGATTAAATACTCACAACTATTCGGTCCAGGGGGCACGAGAATGTCGGCCGTATCCATGCTAACCCTTTGGAATGGCCGTTCGACTACGGTAGGTACTATCGATCTAGGCGGCTGAATCGGCGCCTTGTCGGTCGCGCAGACCTGACAGTTTCAGACGATGAACTTGACATCGTCGCGAATGTTGGAGCAGAACCACTCACTTTTGTCGATTGCCGCCTTCGTGATTCTCACAGCGAAATGGGCCGCAATCTCCTCATGGGCTGACTTAACCCAGTCATATCTTACGAACGGATGCGCGACAGACATCCAAATCCCGCTTCCGTCCGTTTTCCATTTCTCTAACCGTCCCTCATTCCATCGGTAATCCCGAGCTCTCTCAATGGCCCGTCTCCGATCTTCCTTTGTGAAGTTTCGGAGGGGGTTCCCAACCACCGTAGCTATCAAAACGACGTTTGTCCAGACTTCAACCCTTCTCAACCGTCGGGTCTTTTCTAGCCCTTCCGACGTGGCCTCAAGAAATCGAGCCTCCGTCGGAATCTTATCGGTACGACACAGAGGGCACAACCAGGGTTTGTCTTTATTTCGGTACTGAATACAGGAGCCATGAGCTCGAGAGACACAGCGCCGACAATCCACCCGTTCGACATACCCCTCCCCCCTAGGATGCATAGGGACCGAGTAGACCCGCGAGATTGCTTCGCAAAAATAACAAAATTTGTCGGTTAAGGAGAGAAGAGACGAGGATGAGAGGGGAGAAAGGGGAGTTCCAGCGTTACCTCCGTCACCCATCGCCACGTGCTACTCCTTGGTGCGTAGACGGACTGCCACTTGTCCGTACCGAGGCCCGCTGGTCGGTTACGGTTCCTTCCACGAGATAATTTATTCACCCTTGGCGACCTTCGTGGGACGGTGCAGTCGTGTCAATTTGTCCGCGTTCCCGTGCCTCTCCGTCTTCCGATGGATGATGTCGGAATCGTATTCTTGCAATCGTATCGCCCAGCGTCCAATCATGCCCGTGTAATTAGTGAGCTTTTTGAGAGCCAACAGGGGCTCGTGGTTCGTGACGAAGAGAAACTTTGTCCGAACAGATACAGGTGCAAGTGCTGAATTCCCCAAACCACTGTGTAGCATTTTCCTTGTGGAGCCGAATCGTTCGTCCTTTCGTTCGGCACGGTTCGTGACGCGTACTTGATGACGTGTTCGCGGCCGTCGTTCCCCTTCTGCGCTAGGATAGCGGAAATTGCCTCGGGCTGCCAATCCGTGATGAGGATGAATTGCTTCGCCGGGTTCGATCGGATCAAAATAGGCATCGTAGCTAGGGCTTCCTTTAGAGCACTGAAACCCCGTTCACACTCCCCGTACCAGTTGAGGGGTTGGTCCTTCCGCAGTAAGTTCGTCAGGGTCGGGCGATAGAGGCAAAGCCCTTGACGAATCGACGGTCGTACGATGCCAGTCTTAGAAAGGCTTGAACCTGCGTCAGCGACGTGGGAGTCGGGGCGTCTCTAACGGCCGGGACCTTTCTTGAATCGGGCTTCGACCCGCCTCGAGTCACCACGAAGCTCGGGAACGAAATTTTGGACAAGAAGAACTCGCTTTTCTCCGGCACAATCTTGAATCGTGCATCCCGCAAGGCTCCTAGCATCCATTCGATGTGTTGTGCGTGTCTGTGGTACAATTCCGAGTAAACCAGGATATTATCCATATACACAATGACGCAGAAATTAACCATCTCCTGAGTCAGTCGAGTCTTGTTAACGAAATTCTGGAATGTCACATTCATCGCTCTTTGAAACGTCGTGGGTGCATTGCAGATCCCCATTAGGCATCGAACCCACTGCCACGTGCCTTCGAACAGGACAAAAATCGTCTTGGGACGGTCCTCCTCTTTAACCAGGATGTGATTGAACCCATGACGAATATCAAACTTACTAAAATAATTAGCACACCCAATCGCATCAAGCAAATCGTCAATCCGGGCAAAGGGATACACATCCTTGATCGTGATATCATTCTGTTTGCGATAATCGATGCAAATGCGGACTGGCTGATTTTTCTTTGGCACCAACACTATGGGGAACGACCACGGCCCAGTGGCTGGTTCAATCCATCCATTAGCTTCAAATTCCCTAATCCTCTGTAGGGTCGTCATTCGTCCCACAAGGGGGTATCTGTATGGCTTGCAGTGGACTAGAGGGTGATTTCCGGTTTGAATCTCGTGCTGAATTACTAGTGACGGTCCGATATTAGTGCCTGTTACACTAATCGCTCCCTGATATTCCTTTAGAATAGATAGTGACTTTCATCGGGCACATACTGCGGCACATGCAGTTCGTAAGGTTCGTCCACTATCTGGACAGTGATATGTTTTGTATTAGTTGGAGCGGCGCTTTCGGGAGGGGGCGAGGAGATAAACGAATTGTCCGATCGCCAGGAAAACACCGTGGTCATTATCTGTGCATCTTCTTCTTGGATCACCTCGTGTTCTTCCGAGTCAAGCCGTCGTGAACATCCTGTCATCGCACAGACTTTGCCTCGATCGTGATTCCGAGGTCGTGGGGTTCAGCATCCGGGCGCTAAGGGGTTCCAAAGCCTCACCCTCGGCCCCTAACCTTAGCAGTCTTATCATTTTCCTTGGAGGTACCAGGGAACGGGGTAATTCCGTAATGTCGCAAAAAATTATCTTGTCTCTGTATCTCTTAAGGCGTGGGGTAACGCCTTCATACAAGCTTCGAGGAGGTTCCGAGGAATCGGCCATCCAAGAAATGTGCACAAGTGGTTCGCCAAAAATTAATGCGCATGTTCTCTGGATGTTTCCTTTCGTGATGTTGAACGTTCTCGTAGTTGCTTGTTGAATCGGATAGCGGATGCGTTACTGCACTAACTCTCGGTTCACTAAATCGTCTTCATCGCTATCATCAATGTCAATGCACTCCGCAAGTTCCTTCCAAGCAATCATGCAGAGAGTTCCTCCCGGTATTGGGGAAGTTTTATGGGTTACCTCCGCCATCGTTGAGAGAGTCAATCTCATAGGGATGGATGGTGTACGGTTTCCCTCTCGTATTCCGGAGGACAATCGGTCGTCGCAAGTGAACAGTAGGCAAAGATGAAATGGGCATCGCAAAACAAGATTGGAAATCCGAAAAGATCGCTAAAAAAAAGGGGGGGGACTCACATTCATTCCATGCATACATACAAAATACAAACGACAAGGAAAATCCGTAACGATTTACACAAGAAGTCCAAAAAGAAGGCCGCGATAAAATCGACCATATCCGAATCTAAAATTTTACAGATGACAGAGGAAAAGAAAGGAACAACGAAAATAACCTTGTCCCACACTCACACAACTGTTCTCTCTCTCTCTCTCTCTCTCTCTCTCTCTCTCTCTCTCTCTCTCTCTCTCTCCGCTCCCGACGTGGGCAGTCCATCGACGTGCACCAACACAGAGTTGTTACCGCGCTTGGTTCGAGCATGCAAGCCAGGTTCGCCCGCGCGCCACAGTCCGTCGTGACCACGCACGTCAACCCCGCATACCTGACACCAGCTCGTCGGATCGCCCAACTCTCACGCTCACTCACCTTCCAAACTTGCTCGTTAGCCGACCCTCACTGATCACGCTAACCTCGAAAGTCTTAGAGAGGAAACTAATTGCGCTAACAAAATTTATAGCATGCATGCCTGCGCGAGAGGTACGGGATTGAGCCCCGGCGGACAAGAGGAGAAGAGAAGAAGTGCCTACGCCTGCATGGCCAGACCGCAGTGTGGGGGTCATAGCCACACTCCACGCATCGATCCGGTCATGCAAGCACTTCATCCAATTAGGAAGAGTATGTAAGGCAAGGAAGACGGAGAAGGCGGGCAAACACGAGGAAACTTAAAAAGAAGAAAGATACAGTTATAATCACGCCCACCAAAAACGACGGTTACACAACATTAAGGGCGCGATCCAGTCAAAGCCCAGTACCGAGCGCAGCAAGATGCGAGCAAGCGCGACGCAACAAAATTCTGAGTACCTAAATTCCTATCCTAAGTCCTAATTGCAAACGAAAATTCCAAAAAAGCAGAAAAGGAAAAAAAAAAAAAAAATTCTGCGAGCCGTGGGGGCTCGTCATCAGTTGAAAATTCAAAAACGATATTCCCGCGCGATGATCGCGCCAAAATTCCCAGTGCTCACAACAGAACAAGAAAGAAGCTGTGGTACAGTTTTTTTTTTCGTGCCCGCCAAGGCGCGGCTATCCAACCGTTGGCTGGGGATTTTCCCGACACCGATCCGACAACTTCCAACAGAAAACAAAAAGAAACGAGGGCATCCATACAATTAGCCCGCCCGATCCATCTTCCCACTGTTCGCGCGTCCGACCCGTCACATTTCCCCAAGCAGCCTCGCGCGGAAAGTCGCGTGATTACAGAAAATAGTTCGTCACAATCTCAGTTCTGACCTGCGACTCCACTACCATTTCCAAAAATCCTTGGCACAACCCTTTTCGCACTTCCGGGCCCCCATCCCACTCCGATCAGGAAGTCGCGCTGGGCGTGAGGTTAGGGCGTCACAGCGTCTCTGCAAGCAGTGGGAGAGCTTGTATTGGTAGTGGGAGTGTTGTCGATAATATCAAGGACACAGGGGGATTCATTACGCCGGGTTCAACCAACGAACAACACCAGGCCATGTCTTCGGCTTAATGCATTTACTATAGCCTGGAGAGGCTCGGCCAACATAGAAGTAACGGGCCGTCGGGGCGGCATTGCTGTGGGCAGTGGGTAGGCGTGCAGTAATGGTGGGACCGTGTCGGCAACCCCAAGAACATGAGTGCTAGCTAAGTGAAAATTTCGGGGTTATGTTCCTGGTATTGTAGATTCATTGGTTTGAGTTCGTATGTTTTGCACTCAGCCCATCTGCTGGTTAGACTCGTAGAAATAGGGATAGCCCTTCGAAACGAGTTTTCGGTCTTCCTTACGGCATACACTTGCACCTTACTAGATCGAGGGGGATTCTCCCTGCCTGATGGGAATACATGTGGTATGTATCTGGTTATAATTTTAGGCGCTCTTTACCCTCCTTCTAGTCCTTGGCAACTTTGGTTATCCGACACGGATTGTGTGGACAGCCTTTTTTACTCCGTTCTAGTCAAGTGGTGCTGTTAGTCGGGCTGCGCCAGATGAAGGAATTAGGTTGTAATTTGTGCTGAGGTACTCGAATGTAACTGCTAGATCTTCTTCCTACATCCGTTGTGCATTTACCTCATGTTCTGTTTTCTCATGTAGTTTGGTTCTCTTTGGCCACAGTGCCCGTGAATGGTTACATATAAGGTTGCTTTTATACGCGTTATATTTTTAGTGAGAGCCGAG